AATCACCACACAGTACAGACAAACATACACGATTACACACATACCGTCACAGACACACAGACACAAAACACACAAGGACATAATCTTTTCTCCTAGAGAAACATCTTTGTTTAGAAGAAATAGGTTAAAAAGCCACCTGGGATAGCAGGGTAATATCCTGAGTGGTGGACTTAATAAAAGGAGGTGTCTAAACTGCCTCTAAGTCTAATGAGGCCTATTGCCTGGAGAGCCTTCTGTTTTGCTGGGCACTGGGATGGTTACTTTTGGAAGAATGCAGGTAAGAGTTGGGGTAGAGCTACTAAAAAGAGAAATTTGGAGTTTGCAAGAGCTTATTCTATAGAACTTATATGAAAGCTCATTCTTAGAAGCTGGGCTCCTGAACTCAGCAAGCCAGACTGTGGTCCTCACTGCATCCCAGGACACCCTAAAAAGAGAGAGGCCTCCTGACACTGGTAATATGGGGAGGTGATGAATGACAAAGGGGGATGGCTACTACTGAGTGCCCACTGTGAGTCAGGCACATGTACTATCTCACAAGATATATCTTATTCCCATTTTACAGATTCTGTTCCCTCAACCATCCAGGGTCCTAAAGCCGGATTCAAACACAAGAGTTTGAATATAAAATCCTATTGTTTCCACCACACTAGTAGTAATGGCAAATGCAAGGCATGTATGTTTCTACTCCCTATTCATGTTCCCAACAAAGACAGAACATGTGTGTTTTCCCCACTGAGACAGACCAGGGATTGGCAAACTATAGCCCACGGACCTAATGCAGCCTGCTGCCTGATTTTGCAAATAAAGCTTTATTAGAATATAGCCAAGCCTCTTTATTTACATATTGTTTATGGCTGCTCTGAGGCTACAACAGCAAAACTGAGTACTACAGAGAGAGTATGGCCTGCAAACCTTAAATATTTATTATCTGGAACTTTACAGAAAAAGTTTGCTAACCTCTTATCCAAACCCAGTCTCAGAATTGGAGCTGGCAAGTCTTACTGCCTTTGGTGTCTTAGCATTGAAAGATGGTCAGAAAAATAAGCAAATTGTGGGGAGGGTATAACTCAAGTAGTAGAGTGCATGCTTAGCATGCATGAGGTCCTGGGTTCAATCCCCAGAACCCCCATTTAAAGAAAAAACTAATAATAAATAAATAAATAGACCTAATGACCCCACCAAAACATTAAATAAATTTAAAATATATATATAAATTAAATAAAATAAATAAATGGGATGGATAGATAGATGTATAAATAGATGGACAGACATCAGTTTTATTCCAAATATGTACCAATGTTCTGCCATTTATAAGCTGTGAAACATTGGGTAAATTAATCTTTCTGGGTCTTAAGTTCCTCACCTGTAAAATGGGGATAATAATACAATAATCATTACCCAGGGCTCTTTCTTTTGCAAATGACAAAAAACCTACTTAAAGGAGTTTAAGCAAAAAGTTAAGTTTGTCATATCACATAATTAGATTCACTAAGATTTAGTCTACTTCAGCCCTGGTTGGATTCAGGGATTCAAGTGATGTTATCTCCATATTTTAACTTGACTTCCTTCTAATTCTTTTGTGTGGGGGGCCTCATTCCTGTTATAGACAGGCGACCTTCTAGCAGCAGAAAATATGGCCACTGGAAGTCTCAAGTCTAAATTTTCATAGTGAGTGATCTAAAACAGAAGCCCTCTTTCTCCTAACACCAAATCTCAGGAAAAGCTTTGAACAATGCTTAGGACACATACTCAGTTCTTCCATATATTACAGTGGCCAGGGAATGGGGCAGATGGATCAGAGCACTGTGGCTGCTAGACCCACCAAGACCACATGAAGTGGGAGAGAAACTCCCTAAAGGCACCATAAAAAGGAGTATAGAAAAGCATCTACATGAACAAAAACAGAGCTCACAGTGCTCTGCTTCATAGATTTGTCATAAGACAATGAATTTAAAGCATTTAGCACGGTACCTGGCACTTAAGAATCAACAAATGTTAATTATTACCATAACTGATAAATAGATGAATAGATGCATTAATAGATGGGTAATGGTTAAGCATACAGATGAATACATAAAGATGTGAAAAGATAGATGAAAGAATGAAGAATGGACTGATGGAGAGACAACGATGGGTAGGCATATGGACACATGGATGGATGAACCCATCAATTGATGGATGGATGGATAGATGGATGAGTGCACGGATGATGGAGAGAGATGAGGTAGACAAAAATGGGTCCAGTTAAGCTTGTGACATCATATGCTCTAGGGCTGGGAATGGGAAACAGAATAGCACCCCACAATTATTGTCTCCTGAGAGGTCTCCTCTGGTCTCTGCCTCTTGGGTCCCTCTCATTAGGTGAGAAAGCACCTGCTCCTCTCCCTTATCTCTAGTTTCCTTGCATCTCTGTAAGCTGAACAGCTCCTCTCCTCAGAAATCCCCTCTCATTTCCCAGGACAGGGAAGGCATGGTAGAAGGGGGTGTTCTAGGCCAGGTTCCCCTCATGCTACTTCTCTGACTCAGCTTGGGGCATAGGAAAATAAGTCAATGGGGTAGCCATTGACTCCACGCAGAACTGGCTGGGCCAGGAGGGTGAAGCCCTAGAGTCCTGAGATGGAAGATATGGGAGCTGGACCTGCTTCCAAAGAACTTTCCCTTTAGCCCTGCTTGTCCATACAAGGAGTAGGTCTCAGATGATGGGTGTGCAGGAATTGTGACGGGTCTAGGGAGACCTGGGAGACCTTCTCCAGCCTTACCCTGCTTCTTGTGACTGTCCTCAGGGAATCTAGGGGACCAGCTGGGTCCCATCTTTCCCACTCTAGTCATTTCAGGACCTCAGAGAAGAGGTGGGAGTCAGGAGGAACCTACAAAGGAGGGAGGCCCTTCTTAATCTGACCTCTAATCCTGAACCAAGCTCTGACCTCCAGCCTTAAAACTGATGTTCAAATGCCTTCAAGGGGACAACACTGCAAACCTTCCCCTTCCTTTGTCCAAGGTGTTAAGTGCTGAGGTTGTCAGAGCTAAAGACAGAAGTGGGAAATGGGGACAGGGAGGCTACTGAGGAGTTATGAAAGGGAAAAAAGTTTCTCCCAGATAGATGGAGACAGCAGGGCTTGTAACCAGTGGAAAGGTATCCTGCCACCAACTCATATATGGCCATTCATTTCAGACACTAACCACCCAGAGCTAGTGTTAGACTCCACAGGTTTAAGGGCACAGTCCCAACCAGCCGGCCTCCACTTGAGACGTCTGCCACAGGTGGGGTCCCCAGGCCACCTGCATTTCTGACTAACTAGCTACAAGTCCAGGAGGTCCTCAAACCCCTCTCAGGTTCAACAGTTCACTAGAATGACTCACAGAACTCAGAAGTGCTATACTCACAACTAGTTTTTTATAAAGGATATAAATCAGGAACAGCCAAATGAAGAGACACACGGGGCAAAGTCTGGGAGGGTCTCAGATACAGAGCTCCCACACTCTCTCCCCATGGAGAGCCATAGGGCACGTTAAGCTCCCAGTATGTCAATGTGTTCACCAACCAGGAAGTTCTGTGAGCTTTGGTGTCCATGGTTTTTATTGAGATCTCACACACAGGCATGACTCAATTGTTGGTGATACGACTGGACTCAAAGTCCCCAGTCAGGCTGGCTCAAAGCCCCAGTTCTGCACTGATACGTTTGGTCTTTCCACTGACAAGCCCCCACCCCAAGTCATCTCATCTCTTAGTATAAACTCAGGTGTGACCCAAGGGGCTCATAAATAACAAAGACACTTGTATCACTTGGGAAATTTCAAAGATTTAGAGTCTCCCTCTCAGGAGCAGGGACAAAGGACAGGGACCAAATTCTTTATTACACAACAGAAGGGAAGACATTTCAGGATAGAGAAAACGAAAGCTTTGGGGAGGCATCAACAAAAGACAGCCACAGGCTCACATAGGCACATACACACCCACACACCACACACAGGCTCACAGGACCCTCAAGGTCTTGCAAGGACTCCCTCACCATCACTATTCTGCTCACTCTCCCATCCAGCCTCACACAGTCACACAGGTGACACACAAGCTGGACTCCTGCAACCTACACACTTGCTGCTTCCAGAGAATCTACCATTTGTCCACCTCTGTCAGCCCTCCACAGCCACCGGCACAGCCCTGCTCCTCTCTCAGGGTACTCATTTCTTGGTAAGGGGAGAGGCACAACAGGAATCAGCGAGGTCTCAGGGAGCCTGTGATGGAGACCACGAGTTCAGACCAACACTGAGGTAAATGTGCCAAATAGGTGTGCCCTTGTGACTCTGTGTCCTTGAGAACTGGGGGTGCACCTGCACATTGCGTGCATCCCTATGTAGTCTACACATAGGCTTGTGTGGTGTGGGTGTGCCTGTGTCCTCTGTGTGGACCTCTGTGATACAGATGTGCCTGGGCCCCGGGTGTTCTTGGAAGTGTCGGTGCCTAGATGGGCTTTGGGGCCTCTGGCTGCCCTTCTCTCAAGAAGCTCTGTCCCCTCTAGCCTGGGTTTCCAGAGGAAGAAGAGGACAGTGCATGTGGGTGGGAGAGAGAGGAACACTAAAGTGATGGTCCTGGATACAAATGTCCTGAATTCCAGCCAGGGATGTGGCCTTCCCACCTTATGGTCCCTCCAACCCTAATGCTAACACCCACCCCCATCCCCCCATGTCTGAGTGATGCCAACAACTCTGAGGACTCTGTCTCTTGGTGAACCACATGCAATTCTTGGGAACATTTTTGGTGACTTTTTGTTCCTATCTCTTACTCAAGGACAGCTGCAGGTTACTGCTGTCCTGTGAGTGGGGTGTAGAGTGACCAGGCTCCTCCCCATCCAATCACCTTCTCTATTATGCAGGCCTAGGAGGGAGGGTATAGCTCAAGTGGTAGAGTGTATGTGTTGGCATGCACAAGGTCCTGAGTTCAATCCCCAGTACCTCCTCTAAAAATAAATATTATGCAGGCCTCCGCCCACCATCTCACTTACCTTCTTCTTGCTGAGCCCCTTCTCACAAGGATGCCCCTGAAAGTTTCCCAGATGTGGTCCTTAACTTCTTCCCTTCACACCGAGGACTGCCGGGAAGCTGGGTTCCAAAGCTCCATTCGCTCCAACTCTAGGTTCACCACACTGCACCCCCAAACCAGTCCTGGGTGGACCACATCATCCGGAGACTACAAAGGAGCTCAGCCAAGGCCAGCTCAGCCCTCCCCAGCCCTGCCTCCTCCCTCCAAGCCCCTGCCCAAGATTCCAGGCCAAGAACTGCCTCTCCTTCCTCCCCCAGGGCAAGTGCTAAGGCAGTTAGCTCCCCAGAGGGAGCCCTGTGTCCCAGCAAAGGAATGTGAATCACTGACATGTCATACAGCCAAGGATCAGAAAGGGAAGACCAGACCTCCAGTTTCCCTGCCCCAGACCTGACCTGGCTGGGACAGGGCAGGAGTGTTACTGTGAGTGTGAGTGTGAGCAAGGGTGAGTATAGCACAGCTTCTCCATGCCCAGACTTCAGTGCTTCCAACTGGCATCCACGGATCTGTCTGTCACCTGTCTGTATGTAGCCCAGGCAGGGGAAGACAGGCATCAGAGGGAGAAAGAGGGTGGAATGGGGGGAGAGGATAGGTGTATACATTCTCCACACTTCAGCCTGGGGGAACTTTTATTTCAGTTACTTCTGGTCATTCTCTGCCTTCCATCCAGCCACAAGGCTCCCTTCCCCACTCCACAGTCCAACTAGGGCAGCTATTTCCAACCTCCCACACTGGCTTAATCACTCTTTCCTGGCTTTATTGCAGCACCCTCTACTGCCCCCAGACAGTCAGCTGCGTTTATCATAGTGATTTTATTGTCTCTTTTGATTTCACCTTCTACAATCCAGATGATAAGCTCTCTGAGGGCAGAAGCTGTGCCTGTCTTCCTTACTGCCATATGCGCAGCATGTTGCCTGGCACATAGTAGACACTTAATAAATATTTGACTAGTTACTGACTATAGGAACAAAAATCACAGGAAGGTAGGCCTCAGCTCAGAGAGGAAAAGCTGTGATCTTCTGGCCATTAAATGACTTGGCCAGGGCCACTCAGCCAACAAGTATTCCATAGTCTGGCCTGTCTAGACTGAGCCTTCTCCAGAGCCCTGTTCCTCCTCTGCCCAGTAGAATGGGGCAGACAAAGAAAACTGTCAAGAGTAGAAACTAAGGAGAGGGGATTGGGAAAATAGTAGTGGACTACGTCCCAAAGCTCTTTTCTTGCTGCCTAGTACTGAGGTGTCAGTCACCCAGGGTGGAGCTCCAAAATCTCACTTCATCCTTACTAAAGAGGGTTCCGTGCCCCGCATCTTAGTAGTAAGCCCCGACTCCGCCCCTTTAGTGATAGACTCTTGGCTCCACCTCCTGGAGTGACATTTGGACTCCGCCTCCTCAGAAGAAATGGCCTGGATCCGCCCCTTCCGGGTAATACGTAAACCCCACCCCTAGTGTGCGACGGTGTCCCTGTGACGTAACGTAGCGGTCTGTTTCCGGGGTGGAGCCAGGGAGGGCGGGAGTTTAGGCTGCGCCGACCCCTCAGCCCCCCTCCAGGTGACCCCAGCCCCCGAAAATCCTCACCCGGGCCCCCAAATATCCCAGCCCCATGACCTTCAAGCCGTTGACCCTAATTCCCTAAATACCCCATGCCCCCAAGCTGACCGACTGCCCAATCCCTTAACGTCTCGTGCCTCCCAAATCTTCAATCCCACCCTGTCCTGATGTGGCAATTGAGTCTTCCCGGGGGCACCTGTCTCATATTACCCGAGAACAAGTCAGTCGGGTCCCGAGAATGACAGAAAGGGACCTGGGGTTGGGGAATCCTTGATCCAATCATGCCGCTCCCCAGGAGACGTTCGGAACCCAGGACATGTCGGGATTGAGGAGATACGAGGTGGCGCTGGAGGCGGAAGAGGAGTGAGTGGAGGCGGGGTTCTGCGGAGGAGGAACCTAGCCGCGGGGGGTGGGGGGTGGGGGGAGGGCACGAGTTCTCTGGGGGCGGGAGAAGCGGGAGGGGTGGGGCCTCTTAGGGGCGGGGGCTGTAGGGAACCGCCTCTAAGGGGCGGGGCGGAGCCTTCCATGAGAGGGGCGAGGCGTCCAAGGGGCGGAGTCTGTGGGGTCAGCCCCGCCCCGCCCCGCTCGGCTCTGCCGTCTCTTTGCAGGATCTACTGGGGCTGCTTCTACTTTTTCCCTTGGCTGCGCATGTGGCGGAGGGAGCGGAGGTGAGGGGGTTGCGATACCGCGGCCGCGCCCGGGGCATGGACGAGTCTCAGTCCCGGAGAATGGGTCGGGGGAGGGGGGCCGGGAGCCCTCGCCCTGGCTCATGCCAGTGTCGGGTCGCCCCACAGCTCGGCGCACCCTCGGGAGCAGAAGCTGGAGCCTCTGCGGGGCCTGATGAGCTGTCTGTCTAGCGGCCTGGGCCCTGCTCCCCAGCGCTCTGGTCGCGGCCTCCCCCGCCGCACCCCCACTGCCACTGCCCAGCCAGCCGGTGCATTAAAGATTTAAACCGAACCCACCGTGCCGCCCTCCTGACTCTGCCGCCGCTGCCACCATTTGGGCCCCACGCCCCCTTCCATGCTGGCTGTTTCCTTATTGACAGGGCCTCTCTCCCTGATAGGGTGCCTGTCAATGTCCTGGTCCCCATTATTCCTAAGGATCCCTCATCTGAGTCAGGCCTTCCTTACTATCAGTGACTGCCTTCCACCACCACACACACACCCATCGCTGTGAGTGGCCTATATGACGGGAATTAAATAGTCCTGGCCTGGTCTTCCAACCTTATTCCCACATCCATAAGGTTCCCACAACCCTAGCTCTCTGCTACCACCTTCCTCCTAGATAGTATGCTGCCAGGTGTCTGAAGAATCACCTGGGAGTAGATCTAAGAAAGTTTAAACCCAGAGTTGTAGGAAGTAGTAGTCTGTGAGAGGAGGGGAAAATTCCTAGAAGCTGCCTCCAACAGCCTGCCATAGGGGAATGACTTAGGATTGCTGGAGGTCTTTCCTACAGTTAATACGCCAGCTTCCAGCTCCTCCAGTCTGATCCCAAGCTTAAAGATACTTGGCATCAGCCCACCAAGCTCTACCTCCCTAAGAGAACCCAAGGGCCACTGTTCCCTGCCTCCCCTTTCTGTCTGGGCTCCCAGTTGGCCTGAGACCCACTAGCTCCTGAAGTGCTGAAGGGTCAGGGACTCCTAGTGGGCCTGCTTTCAGTTAGGGACTGGTCCCAGCACTAGACAGGGCACCAGAGAACTAAAGAGACAGCCCAGGTTGTGGGTGGGGGCAAAGCTAACTTTCAGCCTGGAGCAGAAGCAGGTTGTAGCTGGGAAGAGGACTCGGCCCTATCTTCGGAGAAGCCAAAGGGGAGAGATGGGTGCATACGTGGAAGAATTTGTTCCTTGCCTTCCCAGGCCTCTGGACCGACTAGTCTAGGAAGGACTACAAAGTGTGTGACAAACAGACAGTTAGCCAATGAAGATTTGTGACAAGATGATGGTACCTCAGTGGCTGCACCCAAGCTCTGGGGCACATGCCAGTCTGGAGGGTGAGAGAGAGACCCTAAGGCCTTTGGTACTAGAAGTTCAAGATGAGTGACCTCTAGGTTGTGGCCACCTTCAAGAATGAACCCAGGCTCTTGAGGCATTTCCTCATGATGTCTACATCAAGAACCCTGACAAAAGTGGAGTATCCTGTCCAGCCTTGGGCCTACACCTCAGAATTCCTAAATACTCAAAATACCTGAGTATCCACAAGACTAACTCCAGGGAAGGACCTTCCAGCCTCACCCTGGACAGGAAGGGGAGGAGAAGCTCGAGTCCTTCAGCCTGGGAAGGGGACTAGTCCCTACTCTCGGAGCTGATGGTCCCTCCTGATTGTTGCAGCAGCCCTGCAGCAGAAAGATGCCCAGGGAAGGTATGGGTCCCTACCCCAAGAGTAGGCCTGCCCCCTTAGAGGATAGTTGGTCACAGAGCAGAAGATTGCAGAAGGCACCCTTGCAACAATCAGACAGGGGCTGGAATATTGGGCTATGACTCAGTTTATGTTTCAAATGCAGAGCGGGACAGGAGGGTTGAAATCCCCAGCCCAGGTGTGGGAAATTCTTCAAGGTGCCAGGAGCACTAATCTTAGCAGATTGCCCCCACCCTAGGCTGTTCCCAGCTTCCTGGAAAGGACAAGAGGAGAGAGAGGAGGAATCATTTTGCATTGGGGGCGGAGGGGAAGAGGGAGTGAGGGCTGGATATGGGATTAGAAAAGGGACAGGAATGAAATAGGAGGTTGGGGCTTTACCAAGAGGATGGAATGTAGAGGGTGTAGTTGCTGGGCTGGGAGGAGATATTCTTCTAGGCCCAAAGTGGAAAGAAACTGGAATTTGAGTAGAACAAAGGAGAGGTAATTGAGCTCTTAAGTCTGATGTCTCAATAAGCCAGGGACTGAGTCTGGAAACCCCAGGCCTCTGCTGGCAAGAGGCTGGCATGTCTGGGACAGGACTAGCCAAAAACAGGAAGGTAAGATTTCTTGTGTTTTTTACTTGTTTGACAGCAGCAACTTGGCACCAGAGACATTTTACCATACCTCATCTGCCCTCCTTATCCACTCCATCCTTCATATCTCATCTTTCTGGGGAGAGCAACCCCCACCTCAGTACCCTCAAGTCACCCCATACCACCAAAAAGGGCTTTCTCCCAGTTTCTCACGCTGAATGTGACTGGCCCAGGTGAGAATCCTCCTCAGCCAGAAGGGCCCTAAGGGACCCATTCCCATCAATTTCTCCTGATAAGACATGCAGGCTAGGGCAGGAAGTGGGGAGGGGAAAATGAAGGCAAGTTGGTGCTGGCCTACCCTCTGCTCCCACCCCACCCACAACTCCTCCATCAGATTTGGGTGTGCTAATATGACTGTATGGTTGAATGACTGAAAACACAACTGTGTGGGAGTGGGACTGAGTGTAACTGGGGCTGTATGATTCTGTCTGTGGTAGTCTGACCATGTGAGGCTGATCGAGTGATAGCAGTGTGACTGTGAATGTGTAACTATGGGTACCTGAGTGAGAATGTCCATCACTGGATGCCCCTGAGGATTCCTGGCTGCCCTTACTCAGTTACTGTACCGTCAGTCCCCACATGTACAGCCCCTCTCCCTAGTCTCTCTGCCCAGGACTTAGGAGCCCATGGGAAATGGCAGTCCTAAGAGAGGAGGGGGTCTGTGGTAACCAGGGCCCAGGACTGTCACAGATTGAGCAATACATCTTCACCTGCCTCTGACTCACCTGGTGCCCCAGGAAAAACGCACCCAGATAAAAGGTAGGGAAGGAGGAGGAGAGAGAAGGAAGCATCCAAGCTGAGCATCATGAAGGGGCCCTCACCTGTCAGCAGCCTCCTGCTGCTACTGTTGCTCCTGAGCCCAGACCCTGAAGCGGGTGAGTGCCTGAGGGTCTAAAAGGCCTGGGTCTTGGTGAATGGGATGGAGGGACAGGGACCCAGGAAGCCCAGCCTCCAGCTGTCTGATGGAGAAGTTTTGGGTCAGAAGCCCTCTGGACACATGGTCCCGTTGTCCCCTAGTATTGCTACTGCCACCCAGCACTGCATGCTGTACTCAGCTCTACCGACAGCCACTCTCAAGCAAGCTACTGAGGAAGGTCGTCCGAGTGGAACTGCAGGAAGCTGATGGGGACTGTCACCTCCAGGCCTTTGTGTGAGCTTTGACCCTGCCCCTGATTTGACCCCTAACTCTGACCTCAGTCCCAACCCCTGATGCTGATCTCAACCCAGCCCCAACTGCTAATTCTGATGCCAATTCAGGTTTTCATCTGGCCTTGGCCTCTAACCCCTGGGCCTTAACCTCATCTGTAAGTTATGACTATGGCTTTGCACCTTTCCTTTCCCAGGCTTCACCTGTCTCGACGCAGCGTCTGCATCCACCCCCAGAACCGCAGCCTGGTTCGGTGGTTTGAGCGCCAAGGGAGGACACTCCAGGGGATTCTGCCCAACCTGAGTTTGGGGCCGGCAGGAAAAATGGGCCAGGGCCCCCAATAGCCAAAATAATAAAGTATCATTGGACAGTAGTCTTTGACTGTGGTCTCCAAGTTCTATGCGCTCTCCCATGAGTCCTGAATCTGGAGCTGGGAGACATGTCAATAAACAGAAGAACCTCCTCATTCCCTTTATTCACACCTTCGCAACCCTCGCCAGGGGCAAGGCCAAGAGCCAAGGACCCACACACACTCCCCAGGTACCTATATATATACATGCAGAGAACACATGTTCCCTGCCTCACATGCACTTGGCACACATGGACACAAACATACACATCTGCACACATTCCTCAGGCGGACCTCCAGCTCTGGGATGAAGTCAGAGGTCCAGGTACCTTTCAGCTGGTAAGTTTGGAACACAGAGTCTCATAGAAATGGGCTCCGAATAGAACTTCCAGCTGAGATCCCGCCTCCACAGGGATCTACTGTCCTGCCTGGTTCCACCTCTCCTTCCATCTATACCAGCAAGACAGAGTTATAGGTGGAATCAGCTGAAGCCCTTCAGGGTCCTCTACAGGTTTGGGACTCCTAGAAGAAGAAGGGGGAAAATCAAGGGAGACAGCAGGATTGGACTTTGTCCCAAACACCCTGAGAATAAGGGAGGGGACCCCACTCTGATCCAGACACCCCAAGAATAACGACGCATACCAGCTTTGAGCCTAACACCCTGAAAAAGAGGAAGGAGCCCCAGTATCCTGTAAGAGATGAAAGAAACCCACCTCTGAGCCCAGGGACTCAAGAATGAAACCATGAGACCAGACTTCATAAGAATAAGGAGACCCAACTCTGATTCTCAAAACCCTTATGATGACTAAGGTATCTGACTTTTAATCTAGACACTGAAAATGAGGGCACACATCTCCAAGT